TGTAAAGGTTAGAATCTCCCAGCAACTGCATCTCTTGTAGCAACCTTTGCTTTTGTTCCAACATTCTTTCAAGAGACTTGACCTCAATTTGGTCAAGACCCGAGAAAACCCTAACCCAACTTTTAACTGTGTTTTTAACATAAAATTCATTGGGGAACCAGGAATGACATAGAACAGGCTCAACAGTCTCTGATCTGAAGTCCTTGTCATAATAACACCTCAAGATATTCCTAGGGATGAAAGTGATCCAATCATACTCGAAGCTTTTATGCCTGCCACTTGAACAGTTCAAACAATAATTTCTGTATATCTCAGCAACAATAATCTCTGTATATCTCAGCTAGCCTCGCCAAGGTATATCTTTGATTCTTTTCTCAAAGAAAAATGAGTTTCTAAGTCTCTCAACAACGAGCTTGATTCTTTCAGAATCTATGGAGGATGAGGCACAACATGATGCATCACAGAAAACAGCAACTACTTGCTTACAAGCCTTTTCATCATAATCCAGAAGTCTCTCACATAAGACAGAAATAATCCGAGGAGTTTCAGCTCTAAATGGATCACAGAGCAAACCAGCTTTAACCTTTTCAAGAACACACATCCAAACTTCAACTGTTTTATCAGTCAACCTCTTTAAGGATTCCATAAGTAATTGTTGAAAAACCTCACTGATTACACATTTGGGTATAGCAAAGAGGTCCCCAAGCAAGATCCTCTTTTAGTTGTATATTCAGCTGATCAGTCTCCTGTTTGGATTGCATCATAGGAGAAATATAGGTGTAGACTGCTCGTTGAACAACTCCATAAAGAGTGTTCAGGCCATTCAGCAACTTTCTAGCAATTTTGTACCATTAACAATTTCTGGTTTTAAAGATAAAATTCCTGAGGTGCTCTCTCTTGGAGACATCAATTACAGCAGCCTGAGTAGTAGAGTTTAGATCCACACTGATTCTACCCAACTGGTTTTCTGAAATCAATCCAAAACATCGCCTTGATTCTTTAAAATGATAACACCACCAAACTCCTTTATTGCATGATTTTTCATTCAACAATGCTACCAAGAGAAAACTCATCAGCCCATCTCAGTCCAGAATCAGAGGAGTCCCAAATTGCAGAAAATACCAAATTGCATCCCTTTACTGCCATCCCAGACTTGACATTTGAGTGAGTAAAAACTGATCCTTCAATTGCACTAATCTCTAGATCATTCTTCACCAATTGCTTTGCTAAGGCACCCCGAAATAATACAACGCCTTCACTGACTAGAGCTTGGTCCTGACTTTCAGCATAAGCAACACACTTCTCCCTCCATCTTCTATTTTTAAGTGTGTGAACACTGTCGCCCATTCCCCTATCCTCATCTCTTTTCTTGAGTATCTTGATCCACTCACTATCTAGACACTGATTTTAGAACAAAGGAACTGAACATATGATAATAGGTGTATAGCAGTCAAGCTAAGACTACTCCAGATTGTAATTGTGGGACTGTAACACAGATGTTGCAAAGACTGCAATTAGTATCACACGTCAAACACTAAACTAGACTTCATTTCAAAATGATTCAGTCATTCACACTACCGTTCTTATTTAGCTGCAACACTTTATATATTGAAACAAATTTTACAATATTCTTTATAATATAATTTTATACTCCCTCTATCGCTTATAATGTTGCCAACTTTCCTGTTTTGGTTGTCCCACTAACTTTGCCACTTTCCCTCTTATATAAAGAATTTGTGATTCTTTTTTATTTTCTCTCCTCTGCACAAACTTTAACCACACAATTTTTACTTTGTTATTCTACATGTTAGTCAACTTTTGACAGAGAAGTAAATTTTATAATATATAACATTTTGTCGGAGGAAGTAACATTTTTATAATATATATTTTAATACATTTATAAATAAAATTTTGTCGGCGTAGAGTATATGAATAGTGTAATAGTTATTGTGTTGTAACTATTAAAGAACAGAGGAATTATATCGTGATAATATAAGCACTAGAGAGCCAGAAAGTAGTGGAGAAAAACTCAGTGTCAGGAAAATAAGTTCTATACCTATATGCTAATTTGCCATAAAGAGAGAGCAAAGTACTGTAGAGACTAGAGCAACTCAGAATTAACCAAAGCTGAGAAGTCGAGGCTTAGAAACTAGAAAGTAGAAACTCAATGTTTAGGTCACAGGGACTTTTTATAATTTGGGACAGGAACCCAACTTGCTATCCTGTTTTATCAGTCAGCTTTGTGATGCTTTTAAGGAGCATTTGACCCCACAGTGTTAGTGTGTAACACAACGGTCCTGTGCGATGATTCTTTGTGCCTTGAGTGGGGTTAAAGTCTGGATAGTCTATTTGTTGTGCTATCTTACGATTTGAATGTGATTTTGAGTATCGAATTGTGATATTTGTGTTATATTTACAAGAATATCCACTCTTGACATCTATAGGGGTAGTTATCCCATGGCCGGACAACGTATAGTGTAATATGTCACAGTATAACCAAATTATTATGATATCTTCTATAGAAGCTCTTCAATCATGAGATAAAGACCTTGGAATTGTCGTCCTTGGATTTTCTGGAGAGAATCTACTAGAGATGTAGGACTGTAGGAGGTTGGCAAGATTTGTAAAAAGTTTGTGCAAAATGAGAAGAAATTATTGATGTGGTTCACCTCGCAGGCTAAATCTGGCAGGGTATCTAGCATAATTATAAATAAATACCCCCCCTCCATTTCAGTATAAATGGCGTTTTGGCAGGGTTTAGTACATTATAATTTGGGGAGGGGATGGGTAATGCAGTGGCATATGCACTATGTGGGAACTTTATAGTTAGGGATGGGAATTAAATTCATTGTGCATTGTGTTATCTACTTGGCGAGTACTTGCAACTTGGAGGTGGCCATTCCGTTTAGCAATCCGACTCAGCCCGTCCTGCTTTTCCGAGTTACTCGCCGAGTATTCGGCTAGTTTCTTAATTTGGGATTTTTTTGACTCAGTGAGCCAGCCATAATTTTTTTTGGCTAAATATGAAAAGTTTTTACTAAAGAGGGATATTATGGAATTTATAAATAGTTAGTGGGTATTTAAAAAATTGGAAATTAACCTTAAAAAGTCTTGGTTTAAAAGTATTTCAGGCATCGGCCCATTCCAGCCTTGATTCCTCATCTCTCGGAAAATTATCCTCCTCCATGGCTTTATCTTCTATCTTGTTTCTTCTTCATTAGGATTATTATTGATATTTTATTCATATGCAAGAATAATAAGAATAATATATTACTATAATTTTGGGACATTTATATTTTTAAAATTAGTTAATATAGGGTCGAGTAATTACCGCGTAATCCCGAGTACTCGGCCATACTCGCTACTCAGCCCTTGACCGAGTTGCTAGCTAGTAGCGATTTAACCACTTAGATTGTGCAGACTCTAGTTTGGCTCGATAGTACACTTGGTTCAGAGATTGTCTCTTACAAGATTTCTCATAACATATATACTGCAACATCTAGAATACCTAGTCCCAAAGATTTTGGGATCGGCTAACCTGAATCGACATATGAGATCGGAGTTAAAAATGAGAAATAGAGAAAAGGGATACGAAAACACAAATCAGTCCTTCACACACCATACAATAATAGCTTTTTTTTACACAAGAATGTGTTATGAGTGTGGATGGGATATGGGCATTTGGTTGACTCGTCCTTGACTAAGCCTACATGAGAAGGTATTTATTATTGTTAATTTCAAATATATGGTACTCTTGATATACTTTTATATATATTTCATTTCCAAATATTTCCTAAAAATATATTTAAGATGAAATATCTCATTTACACATAATCAAGCCTCATACACGGGCATTTGAGAGTCACATCATTTTAAAAGATTTTGTAAAAGGTACTTGTTAATTTACTTAATGTTATTTTTAAATGGACACTGATTTAATTGACCACTTTAATTGTAGAGACTAAATATTTTCAAAAAAAAATAGTAGACTAAATTGAATCTTTTGCATGAGACCATGTGGGGATTATGTGAAAACTCCACACCTTTGTAAGACATGAGCTCATCACGGTATTTTTTAAGAGTAAGGTTACTTGTTGGAGCCAAACTCGTAGGCGCCTCTTTGGCACCCAATGAGCGCCTAGTGACTTCTGATATTCTGCAGCATTGGTGCGAGTACTTGTATGAATAGTTTTAAATTTAGCTTTGCTTGTTTGACTAATCCAAGAGAAGCACCCATCCAGAAAGATTAAACAAGAAACAAGGCCTGATAAATTGAGTTTTTAAAAATGTTTCAAGCCTGACTTCAGGGAAAGTATAACATTAGTACATTATACTCTCTTAGTCTTACTCAGGGAAACAAGGCCTGGCATCATTAGTACATTATACTCCCAGTTTCAAGCGGGACTTCAGGGAAACCAGGCCTGGCATCATAGGAGATGACATTGAGCTTAAGTATCACTTTGGGAGCGCTTCGTAAGCCAATGTAGAGTTGTATTACTGTGGGCATAATATATTAGTGCTCTACTCAATTTTGCTTTGAAAATATAATAACATTGCTGTCCCACATAAATAGCATCATGGTGGTAAAATGAGTTGGTGTTTATTTATTTCATTTCTGCAGTATATCCATTCAAAGAGGTCTTCTTGATGCAAACCTATCCACCTGATATATGGATTGCGAATCTATCAGGATATTATTTCAGAATTCTATCGTATCTATGTTTTCAGCTTGATATTGGAATTTTTTATGAGATGATCATGAGGAGAATATAGGGTATTGAGAATTGTATTCTGATAGCCTGCTGTTTTGCCTTTCACCCATTCTTCATTTTCACTGAGCCTCTGATTTTGAGTTCTCTGCACCTTCAGCTTTCTAGAAATGCTTCTTATGATGTTTATCATCAATGCATTATGAAATTCAGTGTTTGTGATTGTATATTTCTTTAATATTTTTCTACTACTAAGTCAATGAAATTCAAATACCATTCAACTTGTTTCAGGTCTTGCATATGGGGACAATAATGGGGATTCGACTGTGCTCAGCGGTTCTCTATATGATAAAAAATTTGTTGGAGCGACTCCACGCTGCTTGTGACCACATTGAATCCTACTGCATAGAAGCTACTCTGGTCTGACTTTTTACTGTTCTTTGTTGTTTTGTATAAATCATGAAAATTTAGACCACTCCATGTTGATATAATTTGATAATGATTAGGGTCAGGCAAGTTCCCTGAAGTAGTGAAATGGGCAACAAAGTTTTCCTATTCTCCCCTGTTTCTCTTTAACAAATGAAATTTTGAATGTCAATTTGAAGTCATTGCAGCGAATATCCTCTAACTATTCCTGTCCCCTTTTAGAAAGCGAACCTAAGCCGTTATAGGTAAGACTTCTTGTGTGGAAGTGATCACTTACCTATCAATGGGGGTATTGATAGGTAAGACTTGGGATGTTGAGCTCGAAATGTTAGACATCCAAATAGAAAAGCACACCCTATCGACTGAATGCGATGAAAGAGCTCGAAATGTTGTTTTTTCTCATCATTAACTGATGAGCAAGAAGATTAAAAAAGTTAGTGATTTACCCCGAGTTTTAAGACAAACAATTGTCACTTGTTCACCAAGACGAGCTGAGGCAGTGGAGGACCTAGGGGGCCTGTGAAGCTTAGTATTTCTACTTATCATAAAACTCTAGTGCCCCCGATCCTGATAAAAAGTGTAAGTATTAGATAAGTTAATAATTCCATCAAAAGTCCAACATATGTGCAATTGTGCATTGTTACTCTGTATGAGGCATTTAAACTACATATTTATGAAGTGGATCGATTTCATCAACTTAGAGTCTTAGACATGTGTTGACTCCTACAATACATGTTTATGATGTAATATATTTGATGATGACAGTGATTTAAAATCAACAGATATCGTTAGAGGCTTGATAGAAATGTTATAGAGTAATCCATTTGTTTTTACTTGGTAGTTGGTGAAAACAATATTGTGATTGATGAATATGTTGTCACATTTTTTAAAGGGAAAACTGTCAAATAGGTCCTCGAACTTTTATAAAAAGGTCAATTAAGTCCTTCTATAGGAGGTTTTGTCCGGCCGTCGCGATTTGGGGCAGTTCCTGGTGGAATTTTTTGATGAAATTTTTTGAGCATCTTATTCACCAAGTCTAGTTTACTCATACCAAATTTCAGCTAAAATTTCAATCGGAAACACATTCAAATTAATTCTTGAAAATAACTGCACATTTTTGCGTTCTCGAATTAATTTGAATGCGCTCCCGATTAAATTTTTAGCTGAAATTTGGTATGAGTAAACTAGACTTGATGAATAAGATGCTCAAAAAATTTCATCAAAAAATTCCACCGGGAACCGCCCAAAATCGCGACGACCAGGCAAAGTCTCCTATAGAAGGACTTAATTGACTTTTTTGTGAAAATTCGAGGACCTATTTGACAGTTTTCCCTTTTTTAAAATAAAAAGATTGAGATATTCCCGAGGTGGTGATCTTGACTAAGAACACAAAAAGTAAATTTCACGTTTTGAGAGAAAATGGATTAGAAGATTTCTTGATAGGTGTCAATAATTCTTTTGTTAATGAAGAACGAAGTTAAAATTCTTAACATGGAAGATATGAATCATCCTTCTAGATGCGTTATCCAATAACAAAATATCATCATTCACCACTTTGAAGCTGTTATATCAATCATAGTCGTCGTCACAATCATCATCATTATATTTCATTTCTGAACACGGTAATTTTGTGACACGATGTGTAACGTTGAACTGAATTGAAATTCTGAGTATTTGAGTATTTCATTAGTAAAAGGGTGAAGATTTGTTAATCTCGATAGAAATTTAACAAGAAAATGTCCGGTTGATAGCTCCGCCCATGTGTGCCTATGTCATGGACTACTATGTGATACACGTATTATATGTATTGAGCCTGCATCCATAACTTTAGAATAATATTGAAATCATTTATAAGAAATATTGTTTTTCACTCACATTCGCACTCATAATTTTATGAAAGCATTGGACCCATTTAGAAAAAGCACATTCAACACTCATCAGTTCACCGACAACGGCGGACACACCGCTTAAAGGCTGGTTTGCAACCACTTTAAAAAAAGCACTTCTCAGCTTTTGGTTTAAAAAAGTACTTATTTACCAAACACTACCAATTTTTTATTTTTCTCGGCTTTCGTGTCAAAAGTGCTTTTCCACTTTTTATACACCAAAAGCACTTATTTTACCAAACACTACCAACTTTTACTTTTCAAAATCACTTTTTTCTCAAACACTATCAACTTTTACAAATAATCACTTTTTCCAAATCACTCCAAAAGTGCTTTTTTTAAAGCAGAAGCTGTTGCAAACACTCCCTAAGTAGGGTAAGAGCAGGCTTCAACTCAAAAAATGCTACTCCGGTATTTGGTAGTACCATAAAAATTAAAACATTTATTGGCCATAAGTCTGGGTGTTTGAAACTTCTCAAAGATACACCCAATTTTTTTATTTTTCAAAGTTCTATTTCGGACGATATTTCTGAAGTGCTATTTTAAATGACAAATTATTAACATTTGCCAGATTTAATTTTTGCATCTTTTTTCAAAAATCAAAGATTGCTTCCAGGTGTTCAAAGTTGACGATTTAAAATCTAAAACTCAATTATTGAAGACATCTTTTTATTATTGTTATTATTATTTACATTATCATTGTTGCTGTTGTTTTGTCCTTACTTTAACATTTGTAAACTATATTCTCTATTACAATTAGGGAAAATGGAAATTAATAATTTGACCTTTTAGCGGTCTTCTTTTAATAGTCTCACCTTATCGTTATTCATTAATAATGCAACCTTTGCATCCCATCTTCATTCGTTGGTCCTTGACTAGTTAATGACTTGCTATTCCAGGTTTTTTCATTTTCTTTGCAAATCATTCAACCATAAATCCCACATTTCACAAATCTTCTTTTCGCGCGGTCCCACTTATCATTTTCTTTTTTCTTCCTAAAAATTTCCCCTTTTTATTTTTATCATCCTGACTCTTTTATTCCCCGTTTTGGTCTTCTTGTTCTTATTTTTATTACTTTTCAAGTTTTTTTATTTTTTTCAATTTTCATGTATTCCATTTTTCCTTCTTTTTCTTCTTCCCGTTTATTATTTCATTTTCATTTTCATATATTTTCTGAATTAGTTTCCTTATAAAAGATTTTTTTTCACCATACTAACTTCTTTACTTTATTTCCTTTTTACTTACACTTATTTATTTCCTTTTTCCTTTTCTTACCTTTATTCTAACACTAATATATTTTTTAGAAAATAGCTCCAAAATAGAACTAAACTAATCCCTAAATGCACAAATAGGACTATGTTATTTATCTTCTCAAAAAAGGACTAAAGTACCGTCTATCTTCTTATAGTACATTTCTACCATTACCATAACTTAATAGGATAATCATATTTTACATTATAATAAAAAAAATTAAAAAAGGTATTTCAATTTATAAAAATATAGTAACCAAATAAAAAGAAAGTTAAAAAAGTTTTAAAAATAATAAATAATAAATGGTGATAAAAATTAACTTAAAGAAAACTTTAAAAATAAATAAAACCGGATAAAACAAATTAAAAAAATGTTTTAACTTTCTTTTTATTTTGTTACTATATTTTATAAATTGAAATACCTTTTGTTATTTTGTTTATTATAATGTAAAATATGTGATAGCATATTTAATTCTAGAGAGATGTGAGAGCTAGAGAGAGAAATTGAGCAATTAATATTTCTCAACCCCCTATAACTACCCCTTTAGGGGCTATTTATAGAAGTAAATGTGGATTTGGGCTCCTAGCCTTGGGCTTAGGAGGCCCATTACAATAATCATGCCTTCTTTGGGCGAAATAAGACCACTAATGGGCTGAGTACAACACTTAGTAAAAAGTTAGAAAAATACATTCTGCCAGGATGCTTCCTGGCCGATGCGGTGTCTTTTGGCCGACGCGGTCCCTGATCGATGCGGTACACCGGTCGATGCAGGACCCACTTGACTTCTAGGCAGTGTTCTGAGTGAATCCTGCTCTGGCCGTTGCGGGACCCACTAGGCCGAAGGGAGCCATGCGGATGTCCCTCTGGTGTCTTTTGACCTTGTGAGTATGTGGGCCATGGGGTCTAAGTCCATATACTCTATCAATATGATTATCCTATTAAGTTATGGTAAGAGTAGAAATGTATAATAAGAAGATGGACGGTCTTTTAGTCTTATTCTGGGAAGATAAATAACTTAGTTCTATTATTACATTTAGGGATTAGTTTAGTCTTATTTTGGGGCTATTTTCTCATAAATTTATTAGGGTTAGAATAAAGGTAAGAAGAGGAAAAAGGAAATAAATAAGTGTAGGTAAAAAAGAAAATAAAGTAAGGAAGTTGGTACGGTGAAAAAAGATCTTTCATAAGGAAACTAATCCGAAAAATATATAAAAGTGAAAATGAAATAATAAACGGGAAGAAGAAAAAGAAATAAAAATGGAATACGTGAAAATATTATTATCATGTGTTGTAATTATAACAATAATACGGAGTAATATTAATCAATGAAATTACAAAATCTACATATAATACTACTCACATAAAGGAAAAACGTTGAAATTCTAATTTTGCAACAAATTACATCTCACATAGTGTATTATCTATTTATGTTTATCTTTATATAATATTAAATTATTAATCTTTATCTTTATCCAGGCCAATATAAAGTGACAACCTATTTTGACTCCAAAGTTCCCTTTAATTGAGTTATACGAAGTACAAGATAAGATATCTAATCTTTACATAAAATGAAAATATGAAGTAATAGAGGGGAAACTAATTTTGGTTCCAAAATTTCATCCCTATGTGTGATTAAATTATACCAAGTCATATCTCTAATTTAATAATAGTTTTTCTCAGATAAATATAATCATAATAAATAGTGATAATTATAATAATAATAATGATAATAATAATAATAATAATAATAATAATAATCTTAATTTGGTAAGAAAAACACTCATCTGTTCAATTTATATTTATATTTATCTATAAAGTAATAAAGTGGCAACCAATTTTAACTTCAAATTCTCTCCTGAAGTGTAATTTAGTTATAAAAGGTAAGATATCTAATCTTTTCATGATATGGACAGGGACGGAGCCAAGTGCTGGGTCATGGTGTCAAATGACATCACTCAAATTATATATTTATTGTATATGTATGTATACATAAATTGAAAGTGTTAAAAATGACACCACTCAAACTATATATTTATTGTATATATATGTATAT